CCCCCCCCCAGCCCCCCCTCGCTACGCCACTGCAAGGCCTTATTGGCCTATGGGTTAATCCGGCGCTGGTTGCCACTCGTTCATAATTGGTATGGACATTACATATTTCAGATGCAATGTCCATATTGCAAGCTGGTCCTAATATGAACACCGTTTTCTCCATATTTTAAACTTATTATTTTTTTATTATTTAATAAGGCTTAATAGCAGCTAATGTTATTTTCCGTCAGAAGCTGTAAGTCACTCATAGTATCGATTGGCACCTTGGCTTAACCCTTCCGCATGCCTTTTTTTGGCATGTGCACCAGTGGAATACCAATTAATTTAAGGCCTTGTGTGCCATCTTTTGGCACCGTTTTTGAACTACTTGCAACCGTAATTGATCAAACAGAACTCTGCGCAGGACCGTCGAAATGATGATTACATAGGCGGATGGGTTAAGATGGCTGTTGGAATTATTTCGAATATTTTTCCTTATTTTGTTAAATTCAAAGGTTGATCCCTAAACGTTGGCGGCCCTGCAAATCTCAAAGTTTGTTTTCGTCGAGGCAGCGAGACGAGAGACGCAAGCAGAGGGAAAATCGCTTCTTCGACCTATTCCACTTCACAGAAGCCAACAGCGTTAAAAAAAAATAGAGGTGTGATGGCGTTTGGAACGTGTCGCGTGCCCCGCAACCGCAGCACGCAGCCCACGTCATTATCGTAATTGCTCAATCTGGATTCCATCGGTGGTCGTGATGGTCAGAAGGCGCGGGAGCGTATGCTGCCAAAAGCGATTCATGAGGAAATGAGGCGAATCTCCCTTCAGTTTTGGGAGTTCTGGGAGTTTTTCCCCCCCTTTTTTTCTTCAATTTGTTCGACTTTTTATCTCCGCTGTGAAATGCGTTCCGCGATGGTGGCGCCATCACAGTGGAATTTCTCCTCTCACGTCCGTGGGCTTTCCTGCCTTCGTCGGCTGCCTGATCAGTGGAATATATTCTGGTAACTCGTTAATTATTTCATGGACTCAGGGCTGAAGGTCACGTTTAATTTCTTACGTGAAACTTGAGGGAATAGTTTGGCTTCCTCACTCCTCTGGCCCGATATCCGGAGTTCGCCGGCTCTCGTTCACCTGAACCGTCATGGCCTTAAAATGGGCCTTCGATGCTTTGCAGGGTCGGAAGACGATCTAGCCGGGGTTTGGCTCGTTCGTGCTATAAAGAAAATTCCAGCCCTAAAATTCTACTCGCGACCCCGATCGTTCCAGCGTGAATCCCCCTTCGCGAAATTCGTGCGAAGGCATTTTCGTCCGATGCCAAGAACTCCCGTCATTCGGAATGACTAAACTGTCGCCATGAATCTCGAGCGAAAAATATTCCCGAGATATTGGATGCATGTATGCGCCGAATGCGTGGAACGTTACGAGAGAAGCTTAGGTACGGGTTCCCTTAATTTTCATCGATATGAATCTGCCTTTGATTCATCTCTGTCTCCCAAGGGATCCCCCCCCAACCACCCCTCTCCCCCTCTCCCCCCATCCCCCCTCAACCCCCGCTGAGGGAGGCAGAGAGATGAGGGGAAGTGGCAGGCCATCGCTCACGCATCCGCATCGACTCGAGTGCATTTCACGACCGATTCCAGTGACGGCGGCGATGAAAAGCATGGGGGATCCGATTCTTCGTTCCAGAGTTTTGACGAAC